CCCGTGCCTGAAGTTACACCCATTGCAGTGCCCCCGCAGCCACGTGATCAAAATTCAGGCACTTGGCAGCCCACCTGCACTTAGGGCAGCAAGGGCACTTCAACTACCCCCACCCATCTCCTCCCCCATCTGTGCCCTTTTGGCACCCTGCTGCCCTGTGCTCCGCCGCCCCAGCTGGCCTTTGCTGTCCTCTTGCTCCCACTGCTGACAAGGCATGCCCAGCCTGGCTGCTGGGCTGGGCTGGGCTGGGCTGGGTCTGGCTTCTTGCTGGGGGTAAAAAAAAAAGCAAAAAGCAGCCCCAGAGCCGCAGTGCACCAGAAAGCCCCTTTGTGCTGTGCCGTGCTCCTGGGCCAGGACTGCCATTGCTAAATGATGCAGTCACGTGACATCTCACTTTACGACTGCATCACTTAACGATGGAAATTCTGGTCCCAATTGTCCCAAAAGTTGAGGACTACCTATACTGTTTTCACAGGAAGAAAACTGTTGAGGCTCAGAATAATGCATATAGGCAAAATATATGCATCCTATATAAAAGCTCAGGACTACTCCACCAAACTTCACATTCTGCAAAACAATAGCATAAGTGAACAAAAATCCCTCCTCACCATCCTTTTAACAAAAAACTATATGTACAGTATACGTATCCACGCATACCCCACAAAGCACAGTAAATCATACAAACCCATTAAAGAAACTTACAACCCACCACAATGCATATGCTAGAAGCACTATTACTACAGAAAACAAGTCTCTTCAACAGAGACAAAGTAATCCCTTACTATTTCAGGATGTTACAGATGCAGCTAGATAGCAGGAAAACAAACAAGAAGCTGGCTAAATAAGCCATGATTTCTTTGCTTATCTAAAAGAACACTTCAAAGTTATTTAACAAATCATCTTCCAAACAAGTATTGGTTAGCATAACATGCAAAAGTATTAGCCATACTTAAAAGGCAATACAGTGGTACCTCGGGATACGAACGTAATCTGTTCTGTGACTCTGGGCGTATCCCGAGTTGGTCGTAACCCGACGCAAATTTCCCCATAGGGTTCAATGTAAATCTGGTTAATCCGTTCCGCCCTCCGAATTTGGTCACACCCCGAAGCACATTTTCCCATAAGGTTCAATGTAATTACGGTTAATCCGTTCTGGTGTCCGCAGACCACACATCAGGGGCGGGAAAACGGCTGGGCGCCGCACGGCGCGGCGGGAAAACAGCCGGGCGTGGCGGGAGAACGGCCGGGCACGGCACGGTGGAAAAACGGCCGGGCGCGGTGTGGCACAGCGGGAAAACGGCCGCAGACCATGTGTCAGGGGCGGGAAAATGGCCGCGGACCACGTGTCAGGGCAGAAAAATGGCG